CACACACACAACCACAATTAAAACGGGTACAGGGAGATGGCAATACTGTCCCTACCATTAAATTGAAATCCAATTCCCCATAGACATCCGTGAGCCCAGTGCCCTTTCGTCCTATACAGGGTATACCTTAGTCCCATACCAGCCCGAGATAGCAGGCCTGGTGCTGAAACCCACCTCCGATCGAAGGACTTGTCGCACACGTTGCACTTGTACTGCAGGGGGGCCACGCCGTGGCACTCGACCAGGTGCTTCTGCCGCCTGAAGTACTCGGAGAAGCGCTCCGGGCACTTTGGGCACTTGAAGCGCTTCAGCAGCCTGTGCACCGTGTCCACGTGGCCCTTCAGCTTCTGCTGCGTGCCGTACACCCTGCCGCACAGCTCGCACGGGAAGCTGCCGCCGAGGTGCATCGACTTAGTGTGCACCTTCAGGCGGTACCTGGTGACGAAACCGGCGCCGCACTTCGTGCACACGTAGTTCCTGTAGTGGACGTTCATGTGGCGCTCTATGGAGCCGAACGTCTCGAACTTGAAGCCGCACAGCTGGCACTCGTACACGTTGTCCGTGGACAGCTTGAAGGGGACAACCCTGTCGGGGTACTCGCTGTGGAACCTCGTCTTGTGGACCCTGGCCAGGTGGGCCTTCAGCTCGGCCAGGCCGTGGATCGTCTCGCCGCAGAGGGTGCACCTGAGGTCCGTCACGTCCACGTACACCACGAGGCTCTCTGCGCCGTACGCGCTCAGCGCCCTCTTGATTTCGCTTCTCCTGTGCTGCTGCGACTGGTGCTGCTTCAGACCGTCCAGGTCCTCGAAGAAAACGCGGCAGTAGAAGCACGGGAAGCCGGACCGGTTCCTGCTCTTGAACGGTGTCGCGTTCGAGTTCTCCAGGAGGGTGGAGGCGTTGAGTATATGGGCCATCTTCTCTGTTATGTAGACCCTTCTGCGCCTCAAAGATGCCTGCTCCTTCTCGGCATCCTCTAAAAGCTTCTGTATCATTCTCGGCAAGATTATTTTGCCTGCAAGAAGAGCAGTAATATATGTATGTTTATAATTATTTACTTAGTTGTACCAACAGAGAACACCATAACAAGTTATTATAAAAAAAAAAATGGATGATGCTGTGTGGATGAAATTTGGAATTGTGTCATACAAGTGGATGACATTAAGGTCGTAGGTAGGCGGTCAAGCATTTGGATGGGGCCTTGTTAGGGGCCTTATGGATGCTATCAGGCAAGGGATTTCAAAGTAGTGCAGTCTTAACAATGAAAGAGTTACCAAAGAAACTAGGTGAATTACATTACATGTCTCCATTGAAGGTGCGGATATATTTGACATTCTCCCAAGCTTCTTGGCCAAAACAAGGTGATTTGTTAGCTTCTTATTCTACAAGCTTGAGTCACTGATAGGCTTGAATTGGGTATTTCCACCCGTGTGAAGTGTCAAACCAATCAAGGCATTTAGTTATTTAAGGATGAAAATAATGGGATACCTTTCAGGAGCTCAAGGTGGCGGAAGTAGTCTGGACAGGAGCGGTAGAGGGACTCCCTTGTTGGCACTTTCAGGGTGCCCCTTGGAAACTTCGCCAGCAGGGCAGCCTCACCGTCCACGGGTGCGTCGTCAGAGGTTGGATCACCCTTAGATGAGATGTCTGAAAGACAAACGATAACATAACACCTATTCAGATCATATTGGAAGAACTAGTTTGTAAACATGGTAAATACATAAGCACAATTTATCGTACTCTCTGTATTTCGATTCTATTAAAAATTAAATATGTGAGGTCTAAATAATAATAATGATCTATTAAAGAAATCGCCTAAATGGATTTACCTTGAGGATGACGAAAATTGCCTGAAAAGTGTTGTGGGGAAACAAAACTAATAAAAAATGAGGAAAATTAATCTTTCTGCACCACAATCTTCCACAATTCAATTTTAATTACAATAATCCTAGTGTATAGACATTTATTTTACCATTTCTTGTTTAATTTTTATACCACGGTAGGTAAAAAAAAAAAACATCATTATATAAAAAAATGGATAAAAGTACCACAATAGGCCAAATAGTGCAAGTCTAATAATAATTGGTTTTATGTGCATTAATCTTACCACAAAATTCTTCAACATCTGGAATATAGTCGGAGTCATAAACAATGTCTTCATAGAGATCTCCTTGAATTTCTTGCTTCACCTCAACCTGATCCTCGGTCTTGATGTTGTCAGCAATGTCTAAGTCATGATCTCCCACTGGAACTAATAAGATACAATAGTCACTGGCGCATTATGTCTATTACAGAAAACATTGCCGTTGGATGTGGCTTTGAGACCTATAGATATTACCATTAACAAAAATGGTTTCCTTATCACTGACCGCATTCAGTAACTGCTGCTCTGAGCTAGCCACCATTGAACGGAAGCTGCTTGCGTCTCTTAGTTTTGAAACACAGGATGAGCACACCAGAGAGCTGAGAGCATTGTTGGGTGTTAACTGAAACGTATGTACAACAAAAGATGAATTATCATTAAGAGTGGAGTGCTTTGCTTTGTTATTAGTTATGATAAAATGTAATGCAAAGATGCGTTTTAGCATACTTATGAGATAACACAGTGTAATGACCGGGTACTTTTATTGTTTTTAAATATAATTTATGTAGCAGATTTTAATACTCAGTTCTAGCTAATTAATTTAGTTCTAAATCGGTGATGGACTGAGTTAATTAGTCTTCAAGGCCTTAAGGTAAACCCACTGTGAATTGTACATATCCACAAAATATTAATACAATATTTTTTAATTTGCAATGAGTGAATACAGAATTGTTTTTTTCAATATGTTAGTTTTATGCTAATAGGAGTATTATTAACATGACAACAACATATATATACTAAAAATTAATGTGCTAACAATAAAACAATAAATGTTGAATGCACAAGCAAATTGTTTATTACATGATAGTTCGGCATTATATACAACATTGTTAATTAAATAGTAACTTACAAAAATATTGAAGCATTCCAAAATCATGTCTAAGTAAACCTCTTTACAACCATTCCAATAATATTCTTTGAAAATGTCTTTATGTTGACCTTTTTGTGAACAAAAACGACATACTCCATAACTTTTATTTGACTCTTTGGACTCCATTTCATAGTCTTAAATTGAGAAACGAGAAACAAAAGGTAACATAATATTTTATTACCCTTTCCAAAATAAAGATATTGTCACGAATCAGTTAATCACTAATTTACATACATTTCTAAATGTTTACAAATAATAGATTTGTTTTTTCTTTTTATGAAGTTATTATGCGGCAACAGTTTAAAACTTACAGCCAATACAAGATAATTTTGTGATAATAAACATAATTAAACACAATATTTTTATAAGATGGAATTAATTAATTTTTCGTGGATATCTTTTGTTTATTTACCATTTAACTTCGAATTTCAATGACTGTAAATATAATATAAAAAAATATTGTACGTATTAGAAAATTTTGACTCAAGATATGCTGTGCTATTAAACCCACTCGCTCAGTCACATTACATTACACATACCATTCATACAGTTGATATTATAAAAAAAATTATCTCTTTTAATAAAAGGGATAGCGTATAATAGCTTTAATGATATAACCCTTTCATTTGTCTAATGTCCTCTGTACCAAATTAATGTAGGTATGAGTTACATATGATTATTACAGTTGTATTCCTGATAGCTTCGTTTAAGTGTTTTAGGGCAGATTGCAAATGCTGTCCAATAATATAACTTGGGGAAAACGTTTCTTCGCATTTTATATGAAAATTCAAAATATTTTTTAATAAAGTTTATTTACATTTAAATAAAGTATGTAGGTGCCATTTTGTTCGATAACTTCTGCCATCTTGTAGGTAGGGACATGATCCTATTGCTATAGAAATTCTGGGGCTTCTGATAAAAAAAACCGCGACAAGTAGTTTTGGCAGTCCTCTCGTGATGTTAACCTGACACCACAGAGTACATTATATATACTGATATAGAGACATCAGTCTTCCAAGCTTTGAAGCGCCATCTGACGAAATTTGACAGAACTGTTTAAAATACTATACATACCTGTGATTCACGCCCTTTTTACTTTCTCATTTTATTTTATATTTTCCTATTGTTCAACCGATATTAATGTACAACTTTTTAAATTTAAGTTGACTACTAATATTGCTTGAACAATAATGACATAGTTACAAGGTATTAAATAAAAGAATAACATTGGATCTTTTAACATTTATTCTTCCTATTAAAGTACCTTAAGGCTAAGTTTTTCATTAAATCTTTCGAATTTCTTTCTTTTCTAGCACCGTTCAATGTTTTATTTATGTCTTACACCAATTGTACAAGAAAAATCTGCACGATAAATCTATAATATAATCGGTTACTGCTGATTTATGTTTAATACATTTAAACAATTTCAAATCAACTGACACTAATATTAAAGTTTTGCAATAATTCTTAATATCAGGCATTTCACTTTTATTTTCTAATACATGTATAACAATATCTTGGACTTGTGAAAATATTTTAATAAGTCCTTCAGAAGGATAGGTAAGGCAGTTTTTTAAAACTAAAATATTCTCTGATACTGAGATACTCACTAGAGCTTCTTGTACAATATAAATTGGCCTTACATATTGAGCAATTCTTAAATATATTTATTCTTGCCTTCTTCAATATATAACCAGTTACATAACACAGTTCAGCAATAATTCTAGGATCTTTTTTCTTTACATTATAATCTGTAATATCACAATTGATATCTTCCATATCTATAACTATCTCTCTTTGTACATTTTCCCTGTCATTACTAAAAAGCAAATTATTCATGGAATCAAATATTTTGCAAAAATCTTCCTCACAATTTGACCCCACGGAATAATGACTTATTTTAGTAAATAAGAGGGAAGTAAAGGCTGCTTCAAAGCCTTGGGTACTTGGGGAGACATTTCGGCACCCATGGCTCCGAATGCAGCCAAAAAAGTTTTCCAAGGGGTCCTGGTTAAAAATGTCTCATCCATATTGATTTTAGTTTTATATTCATTGAACAATTTGCTTTTTAGGTACTCAATATTTTCAAGTGTATGTAACCAGTTATTTATCGATGGCACTCCACCTTCCCTTCCTTCTTTGGTCACAAATTTCATAGTACGTAATATTCTTTTGGATTTAGCCCATACTTCACTGTGCTTTGATTTCGGAGTAACAGGTCCCAGAAGATATTTTCCAGTTTTCTGTTTGGAGCTGTTGAAACTGCCATTCATAGAGTCAAATAAATCATCAAAAAAAATTAAAATGTCAGCTGTGTCCTTGCATTCCACTGGTAGTATCCCCTTTTCTGAAAGTTAAAAACTAAATGTTAACATTAAACTGATAAGAATGTTGAGAAAATTTTAAATTATTATCAAATAATACAAAAATATCGAAAGCTTTTATTTAAATTATATGCAAGAAAATTTAGACCACTTAATTATGTATCTACAACAACAGATGATTTGAAGCACTAATAGTTTTACTAGTTTGAGTATTTCTATTAGGCAATATTCTCACCCAGTATACTCACCCAGTGAGCATAATAATTTGCTTTTGACCTATGAATAGGTAATGAATATTAACAAAAATATATTTATAACTGTCTTACTTGTAATGAAATTAGATGGTTGAGGTAGATGAAAGTTTAACAGTGAACTAAATATTTTATCTGCTAAATTTTATCAATAATGTTGTAAAGCAAATAAGTAAGAAATGTGTATTTTCAGTTTGAAATCATCTATACATGATTAAGCCTATATCTATATATGACTAAGCCTATATATACATGATTAAGCCAATATCATAACCAATAATGATTTATGTATAAAACATTTGGTT